GTTGAAGAGAGAAGGTGAAGACGATTTCAATTAATTTTAGGGTTTGAGTGGGTAGATAGGGTGTGGGTGTATATATGAATTAATTTATTAACAAATATATTATTTAAATATAATATATACATATATATAATGTATCTAATTAAAATAATATCTGACTTTTGAAAATTGAAACTTCAAATCTGATTTTAGAATATGGATTTTCAAAAGTAGGGTGTGGTGTAATTTCCACTTAATCTTGCCCTTTTTTCAGTGGTCAAATGCTGTCGGAGATGGCCACACTTTTCCCTTAACAATCTTGTGGGCCCTGAACTTTTGTTCTTGTCGAATTGGAGGGTTATAGGTGATGGGATGTGACAAGTAGTGAAATTTGAAAATAAATTAAAGTTTAGTGGCTCAAGTGAGATAAATTAAAATTTTTGTAACCCAATTTTGATTTTGCTGGAGTTCGGTGGGTGACTTCTTGATTGTTTGGTCCTTGGTTAATTTTTTAAAATTTAAAATTCGTTTCAAAATTAACAAAAATATAAAATTCTATTTTTCTACATAATTGGGCACGTTAGAGAAATACCATGTTTCTTGGTATTGATTGTACATTGAACTTATTCTTTAGAGAGCTACTTATATAATATATGTGAAATTATTAACAAGAATTGAACTAGACATTTTCTTTATTTAACTAACTAGTAAATGAGTGCTCGACAATTGATCATTTAATCGTATCAATTAACTTGTATCTAAAAGTATTTACGCTCAAACTTAACAATTGCACGACAATCACAATCTTGAAGCAAGGACGTAACAGCTTTCTCAATATCCTTGTTCTTTGATAGTCAAAAAGATTTTATTTTATTTATTTTAAGTTTGAATTTGTTCATTTGAAAATTTTGAGTTCTTCTAGTTCCTCTCTATTTATAGTAGTAATTTCTTCTCTCTATCATTTCTTGAGTTCCATAAATTTGATCACTTTATTTCATTGTGGTTGTGCTAATGGAGAATATTATTAGACCAATCTATGCACGTTCATTCTGATGTTATCGCAGTTAATCCAATTGTACACTTAAATTACTTGGAAAATTAAATTATCCAAGATCTTCGATAAACTACATCGACTTAAAACTCTCATAGCAACGAAAGTTCATGATAGTCAAAATCATTACTTATTTAGCCCGTACTTGATAGAAATTATTATTTAGATTTTTATTAAAGTCAAAGTCAACTTTCTTTAAAATTTGCTAAAAATCTAATTTTAATCTCCATCAAATAAAAAGTTAAAAGAGTTTTTTCATTATAAGCCAACACCAAACAAGAAAAGAAATAATTAATCTACTTGTACATTCTTTGTGTACATCATAGTTGACATTATGCGAGGTGTAAAAATCGATATTATTGATTTTTTTAGTATTGTTAAAATCAATAGCAAAAATACATGACACATCACACAATGTCAAAATTTTTTTGACATGAACATACACCAAGCAAAATTGGAAAAGAAAAGGTTTTCACAAACCAATCTTGTTACATGTGGCCAACTCAACATTGATTATTTAATTGGATTTGGCTTGCTTATTTAATCAAGCAACCTCGTCTTGAACTTGAATTTGGCACATTAGCATCTCGATGATCATCCCCAAAAAGCTCTCATGTATAATTCCCTAGGAATCTAGAAGATTTCTTGTTCTAAACACATTTCTTTGTGAACTCTCGATTACTCATTATGTTTCATCCGGTGATGCCCTATTTCGTTTTTGAAAATATTTGGTATTGTTATGTACTTTGGATCGCAAGAGAATAAATATAATGAAATAAACAAAAATAAAATAAACACCGAAATTTACGTGAAAACCCAATGTGGGAAAAAATCACGGGCAGAGGAGGAGTAATCCATTATGATCAATAGCAATTGTGTTTACAATACCAAGATCTCAATGTTCTTAATTGAAATCTAAATTCTCTAACTCTCAAGATGTTGTAAAATATATGTATGTGATGATACAATGTGGAATATATATTTGAATTTCTTTTTGGAGTTCTAAATGAAGAAGAAAACATAAAATTCAGAAAAAATGGAATTGAAACACTACGGTAGCGCCTCGAGCAACCATCCTTTCTGTATAATTGTTGTGGCGCCCCATGCCCACACTGCGAAACCCGGCTTGCTGTCCTTTTCTACTCCAAGTTGTTTTCTTCATGTCAAAGTCTTTTTCCAAGCCAAACTCTCAATACTTGATTAAATTTGATTTTCATTAATTAGGACTCTAAAAAAATCAAAGCTCTTTAAACTTCTTCTATTCAACCAAAAACCAAATTACAAGGAATTTGGATTATACCATAACAAATCCCCATCTTGAAACAAATTCCATCACAAAGAGTTCAAGACACATCTCCAAGTAAACACAATTCCTCCTCTTTCAAACAAGCCCCAATGGCCTAAATTAATAACAAATTCCAACTAAGTTCAAGCAATGCTCAAAGTTAGCAATGAAAAGTGGTTTTATCATCATATCAGTAGGATTGTCATTGGTATCAACTTTGCTCACTACAATATCACCACGAGTAATAACATCAAGCACAAAATGATACGTCACATTAATGTGTTTAGTCCTCTCGTGAATCATCTTATCCTTAGTCAAGAAAATTATGCTCTAACTATCACAGAATACTGTAGACATCTACAAGTTTTCACTAATTTCACCAATCAAACCTCTTGGCTACATAGCCTCCTTACATGCCTCTGTAATAGCCATGTATTATGCTTGTGTTGTAGACAACGCTACTGTATTTTGCAAAGTAACTTTTCAACTGATAGCACACCTTCCAAAGGTAAACACATACCCCGTAAGTGATCACTTCTTATCAAGACGCCTGAATAATTTGAATCCACATACCAAATGACTCCATCTGAATTTTTATCAAAATGCAAACAAATATTAGAA